CGCGGCCAGATGCAGCCCCGAGCCGGCGCGGCCTGTGGGATGCAGCCGTTACTTCCCGACAGTGCGGCTGATTTCAGCGCCATCATCCATGCCTCCGTATTTGCTTGTCATCACATTTTAAATGCATTCAACTGGCTACTGATTTGCTGATGGGATCAAGCTAGGTCAGCGTGGCAATAAAAACACAGTATTTGGAAAAGCGTGGGCTGGTTGCTGACCAAAATGTTAGGGGCGAAGCGTGAGACAGGCCTGCTGGGGTGCGTTGCTGATAGCCTCTTCTTCAGGATTTAGCCGCCTGGTGTGACGGAGGAATGCTGCGGGTATGGCGGCAGGACTCTAGCAGAGTGTCTGTCATCTGTCTGTCTGTCTTGGTCTCTCCAGGCGATTATGCCCAGCTTAGCTTACGAATCATGTACCTGGAAGCTGGCGTGTATGATGTCCCGATCATCGTGACGGACTCAGGAAACCCCCCCTTGTACAACACGTCTGTAATTAAAGTGAAGGTGTGCCCCTGTGATGAGAACGGAGACTGTACCACCATTGGGGCGGTAGCTGCAGCTGGACTGGGCACGGGTGCCATCATAGCCATCTTGATATGCATCATTATTTTACTCAGTAAGTACCACAGGAGGTGACATCGCTTGGAGATGTCAAGCCAGAATCGGGCTATTCCAAGTGCAAAGCTGCCAAGCTGATCCCTCTCTCAGTTTGCCAGGCCACCAAAGTCCGCTCTTTGGTGGTGGTTTAACTGGGAAATGGTACTGAAGGCAGGAAAATCAGCCATAATTCCAATAGTGCCGCTTGAGTTTCTGCTGCTTTCTTTAACTTGCTCATCATGACACCAAGCAAAATGAGCGGTAACGACTTGGAAGCACAATCTGTCACGCAGTGGCTCGAGGTGTGCCCTACCTCAGAGACCCACTTGGCGTGGTAATTGTGGATTGGTTTGGAGGAAAAGGTAAGACCTAGTGCTGAGATGTGATGCCACCTGGATGCCAAGTTGTCCTTTAAGTCATGTTCTTTTTTTTCTGGAAATGCTGCTATATTTCTAGCAATAATGTGAGGGTGTGGAGTCCCTTTCCTCTCCTGTTCCCCCTCATCCCGTTCCTGTATGCCGTATTTTTCAAGAGCCGCACAAGCTTTGTGCAGAGGGCAGAGCCATGAGCTTTGGGCTGCTGCTGATGATTCGCACATCAGCGTTCGAACCTCCCTTCACTGCAGCGTGGGCAAAAGGAGCTAGATCACCTTGTGCCTGCGTAAGGCTTTGCTTTCTAAGAGTTCCCGTAGCTTTACAAGCATTCGTTGCCCCTGACAGTGTCTTGGCGAGGCAGTGAGCGTGCTACGATGCTCCATGTTTTGCAGGAAGAAGTTAAATGACTTGTCCAAAATCCTGTGGCAAATCAGTGGCAAACTCCCCAGCAGCTCTCAGGTGGCCGTCTGTCCCCGGCTGGCTATGAACAGACTCACTGGTTCCCAGTGCACCGGTTATTAGATTCGGGCTAGTCCCTGCCAAAATCAGTGCATAGCCATAGTTTTCTGGTTGTCCACTCCAAAGGAAAAAAAAAAAAAAAAAGACAGATTCCCCTTGACCGAGGTATAACTCGGGCTCGGAGGGCGGCC